GCCTCATGGCCGTGAACCAGCACTTCACGGACGCGGGGCTGGAGCTGCTGCCCTTTGAGAACGTGACAAAGAGCGTCTGTGTCCTCACCAACCCGGGCGCCAACATCCCCTGCTTCAGAGCAGGTAACAGTGCAGCTCTGGGGGGTGCCCTCAAAGTCTGAAGGGATCGTCGTGGTCGGGGGGATGAGGTGCTTCAAGACTCCATTGTGTGAGGTGGAAGACAGGGGGCTGCCTCCCAAATTAAAAAGAGAAAAATCGAGAAATAATTGATTAATTAAACATGACATTGTTGTAATTTCCCAAAAGTTACAACAAAGCCTCCTCCTTTTTTAAAAGTCTTTTCAAAGGCAGGAGAATTTTTCAATAGAAATTTTCAAGAGAATAACCACCAGTGCTTAAACCTTCTCAGGGACTTTTTTTTTTGTCCTACCTAGAATTCACCATTCATTAATTGGATGTGAGTTGTCAGCCTGAGAAAGTTGGGGCTGTTCAACCTGGAGAAGGGAAGGTTGTATGGAAACCTCTGCAGCTTTTCAAGATCCGAAGGGGCTACAAAGAAGCTGGAGAGGGACTGTTTGCCAGGAGGGCAAGGAGCAATGGGTTCAAACAGAAAGAGGGGAAGTTAAGACTAGGTATACAGAAGAAATTCTTCCCTGTGGGGGTGGTGAGGGCCTGGCATGGGTTGCCCAGGGAATATTTTTATTTGTAGGGGACAAACGTGTGACTGAAAACCTGGGACTTTCTGCCATGCACACGATCTTTCTCCGAGAGCACAATCGCCTGGTCACGGAGCTGAGGGGATTAAATCCCCACTGGGATGGGGAAAAGCTGTACCAGGAGAGTCGAAAGATTGTGATTGCCATAAACCAGGTATGGTCACTGCGGGGTGTTTAAACTCAGGAATGTGTTTTTCCCTCCAGGATTCTGCTTTGCGGGATCAGTGGAGTTGTTAATGGGAGCTGGAAATTGTGAATAAGGATGATCCATCTGAGACAGCATGGATACCCAGAGAGCTTTCTTATCCTTTATTTAATGAATTTACCAGCTATATATTATATTTAATGTATCAATTATTTATTTGATTTATTAATTCTGCATTTTAAAATAATTTTATTACGTCATGCCACTGCTACACCTGTTTTTGTGAAGATCCTAATGAATTCTGCTCCAGAGAGTCCACATTAGTGCTCTGATTTTTATGGCATTTCTGCTACAGCTTCTGGCGACTTGCTCTGCTTTTATGCTTTCAGATAATAACATACAGGGATTACCTCCCACTTCTGCTGGCTGAGGAGACCAGCAAGTGGATCCCTCAGTACCGTGGTTATGATGAGGAGGTGGATCCCAGAGCCTCAAACGTTTTTTCCCTGGCTTTCCGATTCGGCCACACCTCGGTGCAGCCCTTTGTGTCCCGCTTGGATGAGAGTTTCCAGCCCTTGGGTTCCTACTCCCATGTCCCTCTTCATCTGACCTTCTGTGCTACTTGGAGAATTATAATGGAAGGTAGGAATTGAGGGGGGGGAAGGTGGGGATGGTCCTGGTCTGGTCCTGAGGCTCACGTGGTGGTCAGACAAAGAGTCACAGAATCATTAAGCCTGGAAAAGACCTCCAAGATTGTCCAATCCAAACTTTGACCCATCCCCACCTTGTCACCCAGCCCAGAGCACTGAGTGTCCCGTCCAGTCCTTCCTTGAATTGCTCCCAGTTCAGCGAGACCCGACAGAGTGCGTGTTGCACATCCATTGAGATGGTGCAGCTGCTCCTGTGCCAAGTGTCAGCCACCAAAATTTAGGTCAATTAAAGCTGTTATATCCCCCTCTAGTTAGGAGGCATCTCCAGAGGGTGATGCACCCCATTTAACTAAGCTGAGACACCTTTGTCACTTCCTTGTGGTGTCCATCTCTCTTCATGGCTCTAAATGGAGCTGTGGGGTCCTGCTATTACACAGCTGAGATCTCCCAACATGGGTTTTTCCAAGGAGCACAAATGTCTCTTCCAAAATGGGTTAATTAACTAATCATGGAAAACTTACCAAAATACAGGCATGCAGCCCATTTTCCTGTGTTTTAATCCCACTGTTTCCTTAATGGTTACGAAACAGACACAGACAATCAGACATGAGCTGATTCTATTGTTGCATTTAGTGTTTGAATAAATATCTGTCAATTAATAGCAAATTATAAAACAGAATCCATTGCAAAACCTAAACCTTGACAGACCCCCGTGTATCAGGACTGGTGGGCTGAGGAGCAGAAGAAAAGGACTTGGAGATCCTGGTGGACAACAAGTGGATTTAGGGCTGTGGAAAGAAAGGCTTGAGGGATGGAGAGGGATAAGGAATTTAGTTGCTGTGTGAGGCCTCACCTGCTGGCATATGCAGACATGTACAGATCCATACATGTGCCACTGTGAGGGGGGTGAGGCCCTGGCACAGGTTGCCCCATCCCTGGAAATGTTCAAGGCCAGGTTGGATGGGGCTGGGAACAAGCTGGTCTAGTGGAAGATGTCCCTACCCATGGCAGGGGGGTGGAACTCAACCATCTTGAAGGTCCCCTCCAACCCAAACCATTCTGTGGCTCTATGATTCCACAAACACACACGCCGAGATGGAAATCCGGAGCTGGGAAAACCCCACCCAGCCCGAGTAAACTCTTCCAGCTGCGCAAAAGGGACCACCCAAAGCTGCAACTTGGCACAAAAAGCCTTTCCTTGGTTCGCAATGGCTGCAGGAGGCATCGACCCCCTGGTCCGGGGCATGGTGGTGGATCACGCGAAGAAGATGGAACAGAACCAGCTGATGGTGGAGGAGCTCCAGAACCACCTCTTTGAACAGCTGGAGGTCATGGGGCTGGATTTAGCAGCCATGAACATGCAACGGGGAAGAGACCATGGCCTGCCAGGTAAGGAGGCACAAATCCACCCCTCTTCTGAACAATACTGTGTTCTCTTCTGCTGTTTATAGCAGTTCATGAATGTATTGAGCTCTTCCCATGCCAGTGGGAAGAAAGAGTGCCTTGATTTGAGGGTTGAGGGTGGGTGCACAGGCAAACTCAGGGAATAAAAGGTCTCTGCATTATAAAATTTTAAGACAAGGACAAAAGGCTTTGAAAATAAAAAATGATAGTTGGGATAAAGTAATAAAGAGGGGGAGATACAGTGGTGAGGACATGTGGGATACAGAAGGTACAGACACAAGTGACCAAGTTCAGCTTTCACGTGGCCTTAGACAGGCCACCAGTTCTTTGTTCTTTGCCCATCAGTGCTGATTTGGTGCCTCCTGACAGCCCTGGGCTCTGAGCAGAAGTGACTTCAGATATGAGGTGCTGCAGAAGAACAAGTGCTCTTGGGTGAAGCACAACCAAATGCTGCTCTTTTCTAGGACTTTGACCCCAGAAATTTTGCCTTCCAGAGCTGCAAGGACTGGTGCCCTCACCCTCAGCACTAGAGAGCTGTAACCAACAGGAGAGCTCTAACCTGTAGTCACGAGGACAACCCAAATTGTTAGTTTAGTGTGTAGACACAGAAAGGACCTTTGAAAACATTGTGACTTCCTAGCCAAGAGCAGCTTCCAGCTCCTTTAATGCCATGAGAAGAAGCAGATGTTGCCCATGGGCCAAGGGGTCCTGAGCCAAGGCAGATGGTGGGGCCGTGGGGTGGTGGGTTCTGCTCAGCTGCTGCTCCTGCTCTTGCAGGTTACAATGCCTGGAGGGGCTTCTGTGGGCTCTCCCAACCCCGAACTGTGGAAGAATTCTCTGAGGTGCTTGGCAATCCCAAACTGGCCAAGAAGTTCCTGGATGTGTACGGGACACCGGACAACATCGACCTGTGGATCGGGGCGGTGGCAGAGCCCGTGGTTCCCCAGGGCAGGGTGGGACCCCTCCTGTCCTGCATCATTGGCACCCAGTTCAGGAACCTGCGGGATGGGGACAGGTGAGAGCCAACATTTCCTGGGCATTTATCAGGGGGAAAACGCTGACATTGATCCAACCCAGTGTTCCCAGCAAGGCTCACGTCTTGATTTTAGTCCAGTGGCCAAAGGACTCGTTTTTGTAGCCCATTCCTCCAGATCCATGAGGCTGAGGAGCAGCAGCCCCAGACCACGGGGGATCTGCACTAATCTCTGCCTGAGGTGACGTTTGCTCTCGGGGCACAAAGGGGAGGATAAATCACTGAATCCCAGCAGCCCGGAGATGCTGCGTGGAAGATCTGGCCATGCTGGAGACACCTCTTCCCAAAAGGCTGTGCCTTCTGCCTGGTGGATCGGGGTGGATCTGAGCAGAGACTCACCTTGGTCAGGTCCCGTCTTGGCAAGTGACCAAAGACTACAAACTGCTTCTGAAAATATCCTTGCAGGTTCTGGTGGGAGAACCCAGGAGTTTTCACTCCACAACAGCTGCAAGCACTGAGAAAAATCACACTGTCAAAGGTGTTCTGTGACAACACTCGTATCCAGAAGATACCCAGGGATGTGTTCAGGATCAACAGTTACCCCGAGGACTTCACTGACTGCCAGGAGATCGACGCGCTCGACCTCTCACCCTGGAAAGATGAACCTGAGAGTGGCACAAAAGGTACCAGTGGTCTGAGGCCTGTCAAAAATAATAAATGCCCTATGATGTCTCCTCCATGCCTAAAAAATTAAGGTTTCTATGGTGACTCTGCCCCCAAAAAGATGACTGTGCATTCAGCTGCACTCAGACAGCACTGGAGGCAGAGGTGCTGTTGGCTGGGTCACCCTGTGATCCATCCCTTTCATCATCCTTTATTAACCTGCCTCTTCCTGTTCAAGGAGGTGGAAAATCCCTGAAAATCCAGTCTGTTCTGGCCCTTTTGAATGTGTCCTTCTCTAATAAATGCCAGGATAACCATAGTCTTACCTCACAGGAAGGGTGTCCATGAAAAAATCAACTGGAATTGGTCAGCCTGCTCCAAATTCTTACTCTGCTGCTCCAAGTCCCTGCCCTCCCCTTGCTTTCCCTAAAGTTTTAAAGCATTTTAAGGTATGTCTGGAGTAGCTTTGACACTGTGTGGCCTCACACACCAGCAGTTTAACACACTCAGTCAGAGATGATGATGGATCTTCATCTGAGAGATGTGGACACTCACTGTGCCCTCCTACAGTTACACCTCTGGCACAGGCTCTCCCAGCTGAAAATGATGTGGGAGAACAGAGACTTTCAGAGTAGATTAGGTTTTTTTTCCTTCTGGAAACCCATTTATAGATGATGACAACCCCTGGGGATCCCCTGCTCTGTCCTTCTGCAAGGCACAGACCATGAAGTTCCTGTATTCAGTTTGACTAACTCTTTGAGGGAAACACTGTTGTTCAAAACAGATATTTGCACTTGATGTAAAGGCTAAATTTTGGTGACTTCACCCCATTCTTTAGGAGCTGAGTCCAACTTACCTTCTCTCCAAACAATGTTGTCTCATTTCTTTTATTATCATAGTCTTATGGTCACTAAAATGTGCTGAGCTGCTTCCTGTGGCTCTTTTATCACCAGTTCATGAGGAAGTTGAAATGTTTTCATAACCTGTTTTCATAACCCAGAGAGTGAAATTCCAGGGTGTCAAAAGCAGCTGATAAAAGTTTAACCTTTTCAAGCACCAAGAAACTGCCCTCAACCCCCTCATCCTAAGGGCTCTCTGATGTCACCTGTTGACAAGGCTGGAAGCACCTCGGCCTCAGAGCTGCAAGGATACAGGGATGACAAAAATGTGGGGGGAAATAACGTGCCCAGGAAGGGCTTTCTGCCTCTCAGCAGCTTTTCCTGCTTCATTGACAGGTTCCAGTCCTGCTGCTCAAACCAGTGTTGGAAACCCCTGATGGTGGCCCTGAGCTGCTCCTGGGAAATTCCTGCCTGGCCATCAGGCTCCAGTGGCTGCTGTCGACTGAACCTCAGCACGTGGTTTCCCAGAGGGGAGCTCAAGGCTATGGCAACTGTTTTATTTCCTGTAACGTGATTTTAATACTATTTATTTCTAAAAATTTCCAGTAATGTAAGCCTCCAAATGGAAGGGCAGTGAAGTGTTATTTTATGTTGCTCTAAAAAAAAATTGATCAGAGGTTTTGTGACTCTCTAAAAACATAATTAAGACAAATTTTTTACTTTCCATCCTGAATGGGTGTCAAACCTGGAGGTTTGGCATGCTTGCATTTCAAAATCAAATTCCTTTTCCTTTGTACCTGCTCAGAAAGGATCAGGTTCATGTCACCTTTATCTAAACCTTCCTAATCTCATTTTGCACAAGAGCAAAAGCTGTTTTGGCTGGTTTTGATCAGCAAGATCAAAAGTCTCTGAAGACACTGGAGTCTTGAAGCCTAGAGACAAATTTATTTAAACTCTACAGTGGACCTGTGTGGTTTGGGTGTTCTGGGCAGTAATAAAACCCATCTTGTGCATTCATCTCCATCTGGCATCAATGACAGGCTGGGGCAGAGTGGTTGGAAAGTTGGAAAAGGACCTGAGATTGTTGCTCAGCAGAGGCTGAACATGAGCCCAGGTGTGTTCAGGTGGGCAAAAAAGCCAAGGGCATCTGCCTTGGATCAGAACTAGTGTGGCCAGCAGGACTAGGGAGGTGGTTGTCCCTCTGTACTTGGCACTGATGAGGCCACACCTCAAATCCTGTGTCCAGTTTTGGACTCCTCATGGCAAGAGAGACATGGAGGGGCTGGAGTGTGTGCAGGGAAGGGAACGGAGCTGGGAAGGGGCTGGAGCAGCAGGAGCAGCTGAGGGAGCTGGGGGGGCTCAGCCTGGAGAAAAGGAGGCTCAGGGGGGACCTTCTGGCTCTGCAACCCCCTGACAGGAGGGGGAAGCCAGGGGGGGTCGGGCTCTGCTCCCAGGGAACAAGGGACAGGAGGAGAGGGAACGGCCTCCAGCTGTGCCAGGGGAGGGTCAGGTTGGACATCAGGAGGAATTTCTCCATGGAAAGGGTGGTCAGGCACTGGAAGGGGCTGCCCAGGGAGGTTTGGAGTCCCCATCCCTGGAGGTGTCCAAGGAAGGACTGGACGTGGCACTCAGTGCTCTGGGCTGGGGGACAGGGTGGGGATGGGGCACAGGGTGGACTCGATGATCCTGGAGATCTTTTCCAACCTTAATAAACCTGTGATTCTGTGTTTGTCCAACTTGAGTGCAAAACATTCTTTGGCTGTGGTTCATAGCTCAACATTTCAGCATAAAGCAGCAAACCATAAGCTAACTGGTGAGTAAACCATGAGAATTAGGGTTAAAAATTCATCACCTGGCCAGGATGGTCGCTCCAGGACACTGCAAGTCAATAAATACCAAAGATGTAAAAATCATATTAAGTTTCCATTTCTCCTTGGCATGACTGGGAGGGAAGGAGGGGATTGGGAGCAAGAAGGCAGCAGCATAAGGCAGAGCTACGAGTGGAGCTTGTGAGTGTAGCAGGAGCCTCTGTGGTGAAGAGTAATGAAGGAGGTGCTTGGTAGAACCCCAGGGCTGCAGCAGCAGCATATGAGCTTTGCCACAGGATGTGCTGCCAAGTCATGTCCATCTCAACCCAGTGCCCCACTGCCCACCCATGGCCTGGGGCACCCACAGGAGACGCCTGGAGCTGCCAGGGCCCTGGGGGAAATGATGGAATTTGGGGACTGTGCAGCTCCACGAGTCCCCAGTGTGTGGGGAGCGGGGAAAGGCTGTGGTGGCCTTGGCAGAGGAAGGCAAGACATCACACTGTGAAGCCAGGGCAGAACCAGGCAGGATTCAGAAATCAGGAGCTGCAGTTCCCAGAGTGTGTTTGAGTTGAAAAATACACAGGTTGTGCTAAAAATCAGATTATCACAGAATTATCACAGAATCATTCAGGTTGAGAAAGCCCTCTAAGATCAAGTCCATTAGTCCAGCACTGCCAGGTCCACCACTAAACCATGTCCAAAAGCACAACATCTACATGTTTTTTGAACACTTCCAGGGATGGTGATTCCATCAGGGCATGGGAAGGATATTGGGCAACATACCCCTGCTGTTTGCCTCTGCTTTCTGGGTCCCCAGGCATGTTCCTCTCACACTTTCAAGATCTGGCCAACCACTGAAGGCAAAATCTTACTTTGCTTAAAAGGAAGGCTAAAAAACCCAAAGAGACCATCAGGCCCTGCAGACATGTAAGGGCTTTAATTCCCCTCTCCCAAAGCTGCCTTGTCTTCCTCCCAAATCCTCCCCACGGAAAAGGTGGGAGACAGTGCCTTCTCCTGAGTGTGCTTCCAGGGGAGTGGGGCAGCCCTCCAACCCCAAGGCAGCCACTTCCTCAGGCAGGATGGCCACAGGATTGGGATGGATGTCTCCACCTTGTTGGCTCTGAATAGGAAAAGGTGATGATAAGCAGGCAGTGATGATCCCAGGAAGGGTCCAGCTCTGCCTGGGGTCCAGCTGGAGACATGTTCCCATGGTTATGAGGACAGGAATGTCCAGCTGCCTGTGGTGTGTCTGTCCATGCAGGTGGCACAGTTCCCTGGAAGGGACATGGCAAAACCCTCTCACCACCTCCACTTGGAAGCTTCTCCTCCTTGGTGGACGTTTAGCCCGTCTCTGGTACGTCGGGGTTGCAATCCACGGCTGTCTCTGCTGCCAGGCCTTCCTGTGGTTGCCATGGCCTCCCCCTCGGCTGTGGCACACACAGCTGGAGCTGGGAGAGGGGATCACTGATGGGAAGCTCCGTTTGTCATTCCTGATATCCCCTGGTAGGTGGTGAGCATGGAGTCACGGACCTGCTCGGTGAGCTTGGGGACATCGTCCGGGCCCAGGCCCAGGGTCTCCACTTCTGGCAGGACCTGGATGATGAGTTTTCCTGGAAGAGAGAGGCAGGAGGGTGAGAGAGTGGAAGAAGAGAACGTGTGAGTGGTGTAGAGAGAGCAAGAGAAGATGCAGCAGGAGGACTGGTGCCAGTCAAGGAACAGGAGAGAAAGAAGGGAAATGCCCTCATTCACACACCGAGAGTGGTGTGGGGACCCAGCCGGGGCCCAGGAGCACGCAGCAAAAACCCACACCAGGCTTTTCCCACCCACAAGAGTCACAAATATGGAAACAGGTGAGTCTCTGCTCAAATCCAATGCCATGTTTCACGTAGAATGGGTTTGCACAGTGGAAAGACCTCAGGGCCTGTCTAGATGGTGGCAGGGAGAAGGAGATGTGAGTACATCCAAGCTGGCCCCGCTCTGATCTGTGCATAACAAATCCAGCAGAGTCCCTCCTTCCAGCAACAGGCTTTGGGATGAGGGAAATTGCACCCAGGACTCCCTGGTGTGTCAGACTCCTCTGGGGAAGCAGCCAAGCGATGGACTGATGCAAACTGGAATATACTGAGGAGGTGTCATGATGTGCTTCTGCTCTGGCACCAGAGGCCCTTGTTTTGGCCAACAGAGACAAGACAGTGCCTGCACAGACACCAGACACCCACCTGGGGATCTGGGGAGTGTCTGTGGTGTTTTCTAATGTTCTTGCATGTCTTTACACGTGCATTGGAACAAGATCCAGCAGTGCTGGAAGCAGAGCCACGTGAAGGAGGCAGAAACAAGCATAGAGAGTTTCACAACAGAAAAGGGTATGTCAGGTTGGACGGGGCTTGGAGCAAGCTGGGCTAGTGGAAGGTGTCCCTGCCCATGGCAGGGGGTGGAACAAGATCATCTTAAAGTCCCTTCCAACCCAAACACTTCTGTGATTCTGTGATTGTGTGCTCCCTGCCTGCACATCTCACACCCAAAGCCAGGCTGGCTCCTCACTTCACTTGGCCCTACTGAAAGGGCTGAGTGACAATGGGGGCTGTGCTGAAAATTCAGGTCTGTTGGGGCAGAAGAGACTTCCAGCAAACACCAAACGTGCTCCATGCATGGCAGTGTCAACACCAGGCATGGAGTGTGGTCTTCCAGAGGCTCATCAGCACACCCAGAGCCTCTGTGGACACAGTGAGCTGTCCTGGCCTGAGGACCAGCCTGCTCCATGTGCAGGAATCCTGACCACATGTAGCACATCTTCAGGATCAGCCCTGGCAAAACTTGTGGGAGGGAAAAGTGGGAATGTGCAAGAAAAGCTGACTGGGGTTCTGTCTCCAGTAGCAAAGGTCCTACCTGTTCAACAGCCACTTGGGAGAGGACTCAGAGGTCAGTAAAACATGGGATTACAGGTCAGCTATCCATGAGATCAGAGGTCAGTAAAACATGGGATTAGAGGTCCAATAACCATGGGATTAGAGGTCAGTTATCCATGGGATCAGAGGTCAGCTAACTATGAACTCCCAGGGTAAGGGAAGTTGTTACAAAGGCAAATGTTCATGCAACAGCAAAAAGTCTTTCCTAAGAAAGCTCAGGGAATTTGTGGAATCTCCCTCCTTGGAGTTAATCCAGACTTGTCTGGACAAGGCACAAAGCAAACTCAGATGTCTTTAAATTGGCCTTGCTTTAAGCAAAAGGTTCAGCTGCTTCAGAGACCCCTCCCCACCGTGTTATTGTCTGACTTCCCAGAGCAGGGATGTGGTGGGGAGGAATCCCTGCTCTTGGTCCTATCAACCCCCAGGTGGGGGAGCATTTCCAGTCCCAAAAGGTTTTTGTGTGTCAGGAACAGAGAGAGGATGGGCCCAGCAGGTGAAAGGTGAGTGGAACCAGCCAGTGCAGTGTTTAACATTCTCCCTTCCAGCTGTCTGCCTGTGAGGGAATGACTACACCCAGGCACAACAATGGGAAGGATGAGGATTCCAGATGCAAATCCTCCCCTTAGGAAACAGCAGGGCTAGCCTGGGGAAGGGTGGGAAGTGGCAGAAGCCCAGTTTGGGGCGGGCAGCAGCAAAGGGAGTGGAGGAACAGGATGGAATGCT